TGTTTTTCTTCTGTGTGAGAGGACTCTTTCCTTTCACATCAGGAGACAGATGTCTTCAAGAGGAGCTTAAGTGATAGAGCAGAAGTCAGAGAACTTTGCAGGGACATTGTGACCTCTTTTCTGCTTTGTTGCAGATTCACAGAGTTAGGAAGTGGAGATCATAGAAWCATAGAATCCTTAAGCTTGGAAGAAACCTTTAGATATCATCTAGAGCACATGGCACAGGGCTGCATCCAAGCAGGTTGTGAAGATCTCCAGAGAAGGAGACTCCACAACCTCTCTTGGCCAGCTGTTCCAGGACTCTGTCACCCTCACATGAAAGACTTTTTTCCCAAAGTTCCTGTGGAGCTTTTGATGCTTCAGTTTGTGGCTGTTTCCTCTAGTTCTGTCAGTGTTCATCACTGAAAAGAGGCCGCCCCCTCCTCCTCACTSCTTCCCTTGAGGTATTTATACACACTCATCAGGTCCCCCCTCAGCCTTCTCTTCTCCAGGCTGAACAGGCCCAGCTCTCTCAGCCTTTGCTCATAGGGCAGATGTTCCAGGCCCCTGATCATCCTCATAGCCCTGCGCAGGACTCTCTCCAGCAGCTCCACATCCCTCTTGTACTGGGGAGCCCAGAACTGGACACAGTCTCCAGATATGACTTCAACAAGGCTGAGTAGAGGGGGACAATCATTTCCCTTGACCTGCTCTTCTTAATGCACCCCAGGATCCCACTGGCCTTCTTGGCCACCCTGCTGCCTCATGGTCAACTTGTTGTCCACCATGACACCCAGGTCCCTCTCTGCAGGGCTGCTCTCCAGAAGGTCTGTCCCCCAGCCTGTACTGGTGTCTGGGGTTATTCCTCTCCAAGTGTAGGACCCTGCACTTGCCCTTGTTGAACTTCAGGAGATTTCTCACTGCCCAGTTGTCCAATCTGTCAAGGTCCCTCTGGATGGCAGTGCAGCCCCCTGTGGTTATCAGCTACTCCTCCCAGTTTGGCATCATCAGCAAACTTGCTGAGGGAGCACTCCAGCCCTTCATCCAGTTCGTTAATGAATAAGTTGAACAGGACCAGACTGAGGACTGACCTCTGGGGGACATGGCTAACCACAGGATTCCAACTGGATTCAGCACCACTGATCWCAACCTTCTGAGCTCTGCCATCCAGCCAGTTCCCAATCCACCTCACTGTCCACTCATCTATCCCATACCTCCAGAGCTTGCCCAGGAGGATGCTGTGAGGGACGGTGTCAAAAGCCTTGCTGAAGTCCAGATAGATGACATCCACCGCTCTGCTCTCATCTATCCAGCTAGTCACTCCTTCATAGAAGGCGATCAGGTTAGTCAAGCATGATTTCCCCTTGGTGAATCCATGCTGGCTACTCCTGAGCACCTTCCTCTCCTCCACGTGTCTGGAGACAGCRGCCAGGATGAGCTGTTCCATCACTTTCCYGGGGATGGAGGTGAGGMTCATCGGCCTGTAGTTRCCCAGGTCCTCCTTCTTGCCCTTTTTGAAGACYGGAGTGAYRTTGGCTTTCTTCCAGTCCTCCGGCACCTCCCCCGTTCTCCAGGACCTTCCGAAGATGATGGCGAGCGGCTCGGCTAGGACATCTGCCAGTTCCCGCAACACCCTGGGGTGCATCCCATCAGGGCCCATGGATTTGTGGGTGTCAAGTTTCCTTAGGTGCTCTCTGACCCACTCTTCCTCTACCCAGGGCAAGCCTTCCTCTCTCCGGCTCACTTCTTGTGTCCCCAGGACCTGGGATTTTAGAGGACTGCTGCTGACAAACACAGAAGCAAAGGTAGCATTCAGCAGCTCTGCTTTCTCCATGTTTYCCATAACCAGGGTACCCACCCCATTCATCAGCAGACCCACATTCTCCCTGACCTTCCTCTTGTTGTTAATATATTTGAAGAAGTTCTTGTTATTTCTAACATCCCTTGCCAGATTCAATTCCAAATGTGCCTTAGTTTTCCTTGTTGCATCCCTGCATTCCCAATGTCAGGACAACGTTCCTGTATTTCTCCCAAGGGGGCTGTCCTTTCTTCCRCATTCTGTATACTGCTTTCTTCTGTTGGARTTTTGCCAGGAGCKCCCTGCTCATCCACGCAGGTCTCCTGTCCTCTCTGACTGACTTCTGACTCATAGAGATGTACATCCAGAAGACTYWAGTCCAAAYTCCTGCTCAGAGCAGCACTAGTTAAAGCAGATTGCCTGGGGCCATGTCCAGCTGAATTTCAAGGATCTCAGAGATGGAAACCTCACAGCTTCTTTGGGGCTGTATTCCATTTTTTGACACCCTCACAGTGCAAATATCTCCCTCATAGTAAGAATCTCCCATGTTGCAGCTTGGCCATTTCTTGTCATCTTCTGAGAAGGGTTTACCTGCTTCACCTTTATACCTTTTCATTAAGTAGCAGCAGGAATATCCTCACTGAACCATCTCTCTTAAGGTCGATCTAAGCCAGTTGTCAGCTTYTTGTCATATGCCAAGTTCTCCAGCCCCTAACCATCTTGGTAGCCCTTGGTCTCATTTCAGTGCCTGAGTGATCCAAGTGAAAAGTCCACTAGCCATCAAGTAGGAAAGAGGCTTGAGCACTGTGCAATGAGCCAAGTAAAAGCTCAGGAGTAGGGAGCTGGATCCCCTTAGTAACTCATGCTCAGTCTAAGACATCCCTGCTGCATCCTTGTCACTTATCATTTCAGAGGAACATGATAGCAGAATTTAGTTTCTGAAGAGGAGAATGAAAATGTCAGGATGGGAAGGCAATAAAGATTGGCCATGGGAATTGTGTGATACATCTCAAGGTCATTTCTGTATCCTTCTACAGAGTAGATAAAGTAATGACTGGTCAGAGACATAAAGGKATGGGGAATCTGTCACACATCCCTGTAATCAGCTCTATTTAGTCATGTCATATGTAGAAGAGTATTATCTTATTTGTGATTAGCATTGGCCTTTGTCCCAGCTCCTCCAAATTTTCTTCTAATCTCCCCCTTAATTCTGCTATTATCAGACACCACACTCCCAGAAACTGGAGAATTAAACAGGGATGCAAGCGAATGGCTGGTTGGAATCTGCAGGGAGGCTCAGTTCTTAGTTCAAATGCAAATACTCTGCAAGAGCTGCTCAACCTGYGGGTGTGACTGCCTGCTGCAAACARCCTTCCTCCCATTGTGCCCATGCCCTGAAACTACCAGCTCTGAGACAGCTTTTCTTCTAGACCACTTTTCCGGTGCAAAACCACAGAGATTGTGTTCTGAATATGGGCACTTCTAATTTAAATGTTTTGGGGACAACTAGACTTTGAACTTTCAGAATAAGATATTTAAAATGGAGGGCATGTGTTTCCAGCTAGTAGAGAAAARAAAAAGCTTGAGAAATGACTACAAAATAAGAGGCCAGAACTTTGTGTAGAAACAACGGCCTAGGAGTGAGGCATTTGGAGAAAATGTCAATATGGCCACAATAACCATCACTTTGTTGAGTTTGTTGTAGCTATCACTAAGTCATAGGAAACTTCTTGGGCAAGGATTATCTTATACCACAAGAGATTTTTACTCCATGTATTACAATTATTAAAAGAAACCCTGAAAGGCTTATTATAAGCATAGGGTGAAAAAAAWTTGCTATCAACATAGAAATGTAGGCTGGGATTTCACTCACTCTTTAAGTACCAGAAGTAGTGACAACATTCATGTGCACAATACTCATGCTAAGTAATGTGCTTCTGCCCTCCATAAAGACTAAGGAATTTTGTCAATACAGCCAGTGGAGCCTAGAAAACAGTCCATCTCATTTTAAGGGAGATTTGGTATGACCTGCGTTTGATCACTGTTCTCCATTGACTATATTGCCCACCTTTCCCAAGAACAGGAGATATAAGCATCCACTTCAGAGATGCTTTACATTCACTGAAATTAATCGCATCTTTTAGCCAACGTGCTATAGCGAATGGCTTCCTGTAAGAAGTTTTAAACATTGTGACCAAGGGGTAGTTATTAATTGCAACTTCACTTTTAGTGAGTTTTCTCTTTAATCTTAGTTTTAGCTGTTTTGGCCTTACAGCCATGTCCCCAGACTTCTGTACAGTGTATCACAGTCAATTTTCCTTCATTTCCTAGAGAGTGAGCAAATAATGGATACTTAACAGTCCTTTTCCCAAACCAGGAGCAGACCCAATGTATTGATAGATGTGCCTCTCTACGATTTTTTGATCCCCTGCAAACAGARCTCTTTATGGAGATCCAAACATCACATTGAAAGGGAATGCAGAGGAATTAATGAGTGCAAGCTAGGGGTCACAGGGCTGCCTCACATATACTGATCAGTTGGTTGCAGTATAGTTACTGAGATAACAAGTCCTGGTTCTACCCTGACTACCCTGCACCCCAGGCCAGGGCAGTTGTAAGATGCTTCAATGCTTGAGGAAAAGGGCCAGTATAGTTTCGTTGCTTTTSATTATAGGATGATTAAAAACAAAACAAAAAAACTCATCAAAGATACACTTGCATCTAGTAGATGTCTCTGTACTTTTACCATGGGTTTATCATCTGAGATATCATCTAGATCCACTTTTGTTGTTTTTGGCAGGTAACATAAACTGATTAACAGTTACATTTCAAGTATCGTTTCTTGCTGAACACTGCCCAGCAGACTAGGAGAGCACATTTCCTGCAACACATCACATACAGAGGTGACGTCAGCTTAATGCTATTTCTGCTCTCTTCCAATAAGAAAGGGCTTATTCATCAGACTTTAATATTCTCATTTTTTTTCTTAAAATAAAGAATAATTTTCAGTGAAGTACATGTAACTGAAAAGTCTAGCCTTATATTAGAAATTACTACCACCTCTGCAGCAATACAAGTCTCACAAAACCCAGTATTGACAAAATCCCAAAGTGCTTGTATTGATGAGATTTCTCAATATTGTTCCATAGCAGATACTGTATCTCTCTCTCTAACATCTTTTTTTTTTTCCTTTTTCACATTCCCTCTAGCCAGAAAATTCAGCATGACGGAAGCATTCCCAGAAGTGACAACTGAATTCATTTATGATGAATACGCTTTAATCTGTGATAAAATTGATATCCAGGAATTTGGGAAAGTATTTCTGCCAATATTTTACATTGTAGTGTTTGCCCTTGGCCTCACAGGGAATCTACTGGTGGTTTTGGCTATTGTGAAAGAAGGCAGTAAAAGGAGCATCACTGACATTTATCTCTTGAACTTGGCAATCTCAGACCTGCTCTTTGTTATCTCCCTTCCCTTCTGGGCTTCCAACGTGGTGAATGGATGGACCCTTGGGACTATATCATGCAAAGCTGTTTCTTCACTGTATTACATAGGTTTCTTTGGGGGCATGTTTTTTATCACTGTTATCAGTATTGACAGATATTTGGCTATTGTCCGAGCAACATATTCTCTGAAATCCCGAACAATGAGCCATGGCTTTCTTGTAGTTTGTGGAGTATGGGCAATGGCAATTCTAGTTTCGGTGCCACATTTTGTGTTCACCCAAAAGGTAGAAACTGATTGCATTTCTGTGTCCCCTGATGAGCTTAAGAATATGTGGAGGGTGTTCTGCAATGTGGAATTGAACACCATCGGGTTTTTTATCCCAGTCTGTATCATGTGCTATTGCTACTTTGGGATCATCAAAACCCTGCTGTTATGCAAAAACCAGAAAAAAACACGAGCCATAAAACTGATCTTAGTTGTGGTGATTGTATTTTTTCTGTTTTGGTCCCCATACAACGTGCTGATTTTTCTAGAAACTTTAAAGCACTATGAGCTATTTGTAAGTTGTAACCAAATTAAATCATTGGACTTTGCAATGCACCTGACTGAAACTATTGCATTCAGTCACTGTTGTCTCAATCCTGTTATCTATGCTTTTGCAGGGGAAAAATTCAGGAAATATCTTTATCACATCTGCTTACAGTATTGTCCATTCATGTGTTTCTGTGGGCCCTGCAACCGCTACCAGGTCAGTTCTTCAACTAGTTATGCAGAAAGCATTGTGAGCAGCAACATAACCGTAAATACAAATGATCACGATGCTTCTGTCTTTCTCTGAAAGGGAAGCTCTGTGAGAGAGACATCTATGTAAATATGTGTTCTCTGGCTCTATGTAAATGCGGCTTCTATGTAAATGTGGCTACTACGTCTCTATGCCTGRCAGCCACTGAGAGATTGCCATTATCCATCTGAAAAGACTTAAGACCTCAGTGAATTACTGGTATGGTTCTTGTTAAGCATTAAGTATTCTAGAATAGTRAACATTTTTAAAACAAAAACAGTACAATTTGTCCAAGTCTGGATATAGAATTGAATCAAGAGAGAATAWAAGAGAAAGTAGAAGAAAAAACAGTGCTCTGTGCCTAGAAGATGGAGGAGAATTTAATAATTGAGGACAGGGAAGCTATTAAAAGTTTTATCATGTAAATCTGTCATAAAATTGGAAGTGGTGCAAAATTTAAATGGATGTAAGCCATGTATATTAAGTACAAACCGTTTACATTAAGTAAAAGCAGTAGATCACTGTTAGTAAAGGGGGATTTTTTTAATGTTTTATATTGAYTTATATTTGTATGAAAGTGATTGGAGGTTACTGGTTGCAACAAATATTTTACCTGTGCCTTCATACCAAATAAAATTTCTAGTGTTAAAGAAGAGTTCTTTCTGGRTATGTGTTCTGTGCCAACAGTACCCTTAGTGGGGTGCAACTTGCAGTACTCAGAGCAAGAACTCTTCCTATGGATTTCAGTTCTGATGTAGAGCTGCTCCAAACCAACAGAGTTCCTGAGGACACATTTACCATCAGCACTCTGCAGCCTCCAGGTATTCTTTTTACTTTTGCAATGACCATCCCTTTGGTGGGGAAATGTCAATCAGACAAGGCAAGTGAGAGTCTCTTCCCAGGACTTCCCACAGAAGATCCTGCTGCTGTCTGTTATGAGGGCTGATGAGATTTTGTAGGCATTGTGGATTAGAGTTACATAAGTGGAAAATGTACAGTTCTCATCTACAAAGCTGAGATCATCTCTACAAAGAAGAATCGAGGACCAAACTTATAAAATGAGCCCATGTGGATTCAACTCTATGTTTGTCACCTGAATAAACAATATAAATCTGATTAAACACTCACTTTCCAATTAGTATGAAAGAGTTGTTCTAGCAATACCAGTGCAAAGACTAGGTGGTAGCATACTGGACTTTGCTACCACCATGATTCTAAGGAAGCTTGGAGATGTTCCCCTCTACTGAGTAATTTTCCATATTGCACATTCCCATGCAATCATTCAGCTAATATCAAATATTTCACTTATTTGCTTCTGAATATTCAGCATGGTCTACAGCATAATGGATCTTGTTACATGCTTTATATTAGGTGAAAATATTATGTACACTCAGCCTTCAAATTTTCAAATAGAAGCAGACATTAAGACTCCAGAACTCTTGACTAAGATCAACTGTAGTATGCGTGTCACCTGACATTAAATTCATTTTCAAAATTCAGTCAGCCTAAGCAAGTCAGATTAGACACTGTCTCCTCTCCCCCAGCCCCAGGCAAGTGATCCCCTCTTGCCTGGGGATGTACTTTTGGGAAATGCTAAGATATGGAGAAGAAAGGGGAAGGCATTTTGAGCCAAAAGAAGAGGTAATTTGCATAAAGTCAGTCTGAGTAGAGTATATTGCTGGTTGAGCAATGCAATGTAATTCAGCTTATATTATTTTCCTGTTATTTTTCAGACAATGGTGAGTAACTGAGTAGAAAAAAATACATGGTGATGATGTAGTGGCTGTCTATGCTGTGGGGCTGGAATGGAATGATCAGGGTTAGGATTAGGATTAGGGCTAGGAGAATAATAAAGCATAGAGCTCCATCTAGAGCTTGGCTGCAAAACACATACCCAAGGATATGCACACTACACTCACTCTGCTCTCAGGACAACTTTTATCTCAGGGCTTACAGCGGGGTAGATGGTTTTGGTTCTAGGTCACTCTCAAGACTGGGGTCAGGGTTATGTTTAGGGTTAGGCTTCAGAAAATGATAAAGTGTAGATTTTCATATAGCGTTTGGCTGCAAAGGGCACAGCAACAGCACTGCAGTCAGTGTGCTCCTAGTACCACTTTTGTCTCAGGCTATTCAGTGGAGCAGATTGTTTCAGGCCCTAGTCACTCTCATCATCAGAGTTAGGGCTAGAGTTTGAGCAATGACAAAACATAGGGCCATATGTGAAATGCAGCTGTAAATGGCAAGGCAAGGACACACAACACTACATCCAGTGTGCTCCCAGAGGAACTTTTGTCTTGGTCTTTCTACAGGACTTGTGCATTTGGGACCTGGTCATTCCCATGATTAGGTTTAGGGTTTGGAGAATGATAAACCACAGAGCTCCATGTAGAGTTTGTCTGCAAAGGACATGCAGCATTACACTCCATCTGCTCCTAGGGCATCTTTTGTCTCAGGGATTTCAATGGGGCAGAATGGGGCTGCCAAGGGCATGCCAAAGGAAAAGTGGGCTGCACCCAGCTTCCTCTCAGGACTACTTTGTCTTTTCAGCCAATTGTGGCCCAGTGTTTAATTTGCCACTCACCTTTGTCATAGACTTAGAATTAGGTTTAGGGTACTGTTGCTTCAGTGTATGCTACTTTGCATCACTTCTTTACTTTAAATACAGTCAGCACTTGCAGGTGCCAGGCATTGGTGCCCAGTCAGGTACAGAAGGATGCCAGAAGGCATCCTAGTATTGYACACCTGATATGGTCATGTCATTCTACAGAGCACAGTTCCCAGTAGATGCTGGAGTTATTATCAGACTAAYCCTCTGATAAAAGATGCAGCTCTTCAGATCACAGGCTGCAAACGATGTTCGGGGCCTCTCCATGAGGCCTGGGCTGACAGACAGCCTTCCTACCAAAGGTGTTCTTTGTTTGAGGAATAATGTCAATGGGTAAAGGAGTTACAAGATCAAGTCAGATGGCTGCAAAGCCAATGTCTTCATTGGAACACATTTTACTTTCTCTATTCTCTTATTTTTGTTTTATTTTCTATAAAACCAGCAAGTAAAATGATAATGATAACTACAGCACTTTTTTGGTCTTTATTAAGTGCATCCAGGTGAAATCTTGGGTAATATGGGAGTAGAGTCATGGTCAGGTGATGCATATTGTACCTTAACAGCACTTAACCTCTATTGTGGTAACAAAGGAGTATTTAGTTGGCAATCAGGTTATCAAGGGAACTTGACAGCTAGAGAAAGTAATGTACTAGTAGAAATGCAGATAGCCTTGGTACATGGCTGACAGAAAATCAGAAGTTCATGGAGCTATACTTCATGGGAGGACAGAGATGAAGACTCTGAAATTCTGGATATGTGGATTGAAGCAAAGGTGCGTGGGTTTTTTGTGGGTTTGTTCAGGTTTTTTTTTTTTTTTTTTTTTTTTTTTTTTTTTTTTTTTTTTTTTTTTTTGAAGGCAGAGGCTTGCCTTCCCCATACCCTCATGAAGATGAATAAAAGGCAAGTCCAGAGTTCTGCACCTGGGGAGGAATAACCTCAGATACCAGTACAGATTGGGGGTTGATCTGCTGGAAGCCAGCTCCATGGAGAGTGATTTCGGAGTTACGGCTGACAACAAGCTAACGATGAGTTAGCAATGTGCCCTCACGACCATGAAGGCCAGTGGGCTCCTGGCCTGCACCAGGAGGAGTGTTGCCAGCAGGTCGAGGGAGGGGATCCTGCCCCTCTGCTCAGCTCTGGTGAGGCTGCAACTGGAGTACTGCGTGTGGTTCTGGGCTCCACAGTATAAGAGGGATGTGGARCTCCTAGGGAGGGTCTAGTAGAGAGTAACAATGACTGGAGCATCTCTCATACCCGGAGAGACTGAGTGAGTTGGGCCTCTTTTCCCTGGAGAAGAGAAGGTTGAGAGGGGATCTTATCAGCATGTACAAATACCTGAGGGGGATGATGTAAACAGGATGGGGCCAAACTCTTCTCAGTGGTGGCCAGTGACAGGATGAGGGGCAATGGGTAAAAGTTGAAACACAGGAAGTTCCATCTGCATGTGAGGAAGAACTTCTTTCCTTTGAGAGTGATAGAGCCCTGGAACAGACTTCCCAGGGAGGTTGTGGAGTCTCCTTCTCTGCAGGTCTTCAAAACCTGCCTGGCTGCCACCCTGTGCCWYRTGCTCTGGGTRTCCCTGCAGGAGTAGGAGAGTTGGACTAGATGATCTCTAGAGACCCCTTCCAACCTCACCCAATCTGTGATTCGGTAATGTTTCATAATTTATGTCTTCTCTTACCTCATGTTCAGGAAGGGTCCTGAACAGGGCAGAACAAGCACTGATTATACAAACCATACTTACAATTCGGAGAACAGTAAGTGATAACTGTTGCCTGTATAGTATGTTATACCATTTTATTTAATGACTTCAGCTCAATTTCAAGTGAATTTTAAAAATTCAAGTTCATTAAGTGGATTAAGTGGGTAGCAATGGAAGGCCATTCCTGTGTGCCAAAAGAGGGGCCAATGGGGAAGAACAGCCTGGCTGAATAAGTATGTAATGCTGAGATTCCAAGGCGAGGGGAAAAGAGAGTTTACCACCATTGGAAGAAGGGACAGATAACTCGGGAAGGGTGCAAGGATGTAACTAGGGTATGTAGTAAGAAAATTAGACAGGCAAATGCTTGGATGCAACTCTATCTGGACCCTGCTGTAAATGGCAACAAAAATGTTTCTACAAATATAYTAACAAGAAGAGAAAGGCCAAGGAGAATCCACATCCTTTATTGGATGCGGTGGGGAACATTGCCACCAAGGATGAGGATAAGGTGGAGGTACTTTAATACCTTCTTTGCCTCTGTCTTTAACACCCAGATCAGTTATCTTCAAGGTACTCGGCCCTCTGGGCTCAAGACACCTATGGTGAGAAAACTAAATTTAGCAGGAAACCTCTAGTGACCTGACACTCCACTTGGACGTTTCCAAGTCCACGGAGTCAGATGCAATGCACCTGAGGGTTCTGAGGGAGCTGGCAGAAGTGCTTCCTAAGCTGGTCTTCATCATCTRTCAGCGGTCCTGGTCAACCAGGGAGGTTCCAGATGACTGGAGACTTGCCAAAGTTATGCCCACCTACAGAAAGGGTCATGTAGAGGATCTGGGGAGCTACAGGCCTGTCAGCCTGAGCTTGGCATCAGGGCAAGTTATGGAGCAGATAATCTTGAGGGCCATCACACAGCATGTGACAACCAGGGGATCCGGCCCAGCCGACATGAGTTCAGGAAAGACAGCTCTTGCCTGACCAACCCGATCTCCTTATATGACCAAGTAACTGCCTAGTGGATGAGGGAAAGGCTGTGGACAYGGTCTGCTTAGACTTCAGGAAGGCCTTTGACACAGTCTCTCACTACCTTCTCCTGGAGAAGCTGGCAGCTCCTGGCTTAAGCAGGTGGACTCTCACTGAGTGAAAAAGTGGCTGAGTGGCCTGGCTCAGAGAGTGGTGGTGAATGGCGTTAAATCTGGTAGCGACCGGTACCA